ATATATAAAATATAATCTATGTCCTACATAGCCTTATGACTTTGTCGTACGTTACATTATACTAAAATTAATTTTTTACCCCGAAAAAAATTACTATATAAAAAAAAAATAAAAAAATGATCATTCACATACTAAAACATTTAATTCATTGCAAGAACTTCATTATACTTATTGCTTAAAATTAGCACACTCAAGTGTATGCATTTTGATACTCTTTCTTTATTTCCTTATTTCATATGCATAAATAAAACATTATATGCTTTGTATTTATTCTTACTACAATTAAAAAAATTTTCTGTAATACTATTTATTGAACAAACACCATCTAAAAAGGGATCGGACTTTCTTTTAATATTTGATAACATAACTAATACTATAGGAATTTCATTTTTTACATTATTTCACATCAAATATAAGAGTTTATTAGATTCATTGTACATAAATTTTTTCTCTCCTTTCCATAATGTAGGTCCTACAGCATCAAGTTAAACCACATAAGTTTGAATTAAAGATACTTTATTTATTTTTTGTACAAGGATATTTTTATTTATAACTTGAAAAAATAGGTATTTTTTGACATATTCTTAAATACATTCAAAATAATTTGGGCCATAAAAATTCCTTCATATTTTATTTAGCGTTTCATCATCTTAACAATACTCTGCATACTTACTATTTTAAATTATTGCTTTAAATGGTTCCTATATTTTTTTGAGATATATAATTATCCTTTTTATAGGAAATAAAAATAAATGTCTATCCATTCTATAAGTCAATTTATTTTACATTCCTTAATAACTTTTATAGTGTATCGGCAAAGAGGAATGATATAAATTTATTTTCATTTTTAATATCTTTTAATATAACTTATTACCATATACCTAGGAATACCAATTCAACTATTCAATAATAAACATTATTAATTTTTTGAACTTTTATTACTGTGGAATAAAATATATCTGAAAGTTTAGTTGAAAATCTAAGGTATTTGAGAATACATACGTTAAAAGGAGTATACTAAAATTCTTACAATGAAATATATACTTAAGTATGTGTATTTAAAAAAGAAAAAAATAAATATTACATATGTGTGAAAAAAAAAATTTTTTTTTTTTTTAAGAATAATGACATTTTTTTTATTATATATATTGATGAATAATATTCATTTTTTTTTATCTAGATAATTAAGAATAAATGAAAAATTAAACAAACATAGTAATAAATTTTTAATGTATTGAGAAATGTTGAATATTTATTTAATATAATACTAATTTAAAGATCTTAAATATAGAATAAATTAATTACTTATTTTATATTATATAACATAATTATAGATGATGTATATAATTATCCATAATAAGTAATGTTATAATAGGTAAAATATGTTAAATTCTCCTAACATTTTTTTGATTAATTTGACTGTTTAACATACTATAAAAGTATTTTAACGATTATTTTATAAATCATAAACTAGTAATATAGTAATCCAACAACCTATCATGTTTTTTCTTCTTCAACATGCTAAAATTCAAGATTAAATTAAGACAAACTTTGTTTTCACCTACCTAGTTCCTAGTATAAAAATGATAAGTTCTTTTAGTACTTTAATAATAAAAATATTCACAAATAGTAACGATTGAAAAAATTATCTTTCAATATTTCTTCATTTATTTTGTATATGGTCAAGTTTCCTAAATATAAAATAAATAAATCTGTAAGAATTAATCTTATCAGCTATTTATATTACAAATCTCCTATAATATGACCTAAAGAGTCTGTATATATAATGTAAGGTTTTCCTATTTTTAAATAAAGAGTGAGTTATTTCTGTCATTTTCTTCTTTATGTGTCCATATATATTTTAAAATGCCATTCTTTCATATAAACTTGTTCTTTTTTTTTAGAAATGGTACTATTTCAGACATATGTACCAATAATACCATTATATGATTATTACTCATTATTTATCTGTTGTATTATAAGGTTTTTAAAGTACTTATATAGCATACTTAAAAATAAATTTAATAAAGATCATGTAGAGTGATATATACAAGATTCATTTATTGTAAAATTAATTATTATAGATAAATTACTTATTAATTGGAAATTTAAGCATTTTTATAATATATCAAAAAGTCATATCATTAAAAAATATGTAGAGAAATCTTTAATTATTTTATTTATCACCTCACTTATTATATATAATTATTTACTTCTTATATAATTTTTTCCTACAAAATAATATAAATAATTAATTTATTTATGTTTAAAAATTTTAAATCATTTCTACGTTAAATAAGTATTTGTCATTTTCCAATACATTAAATATTTATTATTTATATTTTTTTCATCAATTTCTTACACAAAATTTTCATATTCTCATAAACATCATTTTATTATTTCCCTTCAAAAAAAAATAATTTTTTAAAAATGAGTTGAAAAAAAATAAATAAACATGCATACTTTTTTTTTTTTATTTTATTTATCTAAATATACCTATTTTAGTGCATTTATTTTAAATTATTCATTTCTGTAAATATTTTACATGCTTAAATAAACTTTCAGTTACCTTCTATTTCATCTTATTAAAAATTCAGAAGGGCTGATAATGTTATTTTATGATTAATAATATAGCTAATCCTTATATAATTATATTACATAAAATGAAATAATATGCTTATTTCATGCAACATTTATAATTCTGTAATGGAAATTACGTTATAATATTTTATTATTATTATTATTGTTATATTAACTTATAAAACATTATATAGTTTAATAAAAATCCTTAATTTTTTTAATTAAGAATTAAATACTCAATATACATAAACATTATACAATACGTATTTAATTTTTTTATCAAAGATTCTCATAAATAACGAATTTTTATCTCTTCTTATTACTAATAATTCCTCACTTAATAATACAAGAAAAAAATCATATTTACAGTATTTATACAATATATAAGAGTGATATTGTTCGAAAAAAAAATTCTTATTTAATTTTTTTTAATGAAAATATTCAAGTATGCATAATTTGTTTATATTAGGTAGTTAAAGAGTATTCCCAAATACCTTGCTAACACAATTTCTGGATATGTTCTAATTTAATCTATTATATATTTAAAAAGACACATAATGTTTTTTATTTATTAAAATTATACAAAAATTGTTGGATATGCAAAAAATAAACTTTTCAACACTTTTCATAAAAATTATATAATCCAGTATAAATGAAATAAATTACAATTATGATAAATTGAAAAGAATTAAAAAAATTACATATACTAATTTATTTCTTTAATATTTTACCTAAATTTTTTCAAAACCGTTGCAATTATTTCATACTAGAAAAATTAGATCAAAAAATTTTAGAAAAAATTGTTTATGAAATATCATAAAATTGAAACATTTTTTGCTACATCACAATGGAAAATTATGTATGCATAAAATTAACACGTTTTGTAATAATTCTTTTCTAAAAATTAGTAGTATATAGAAAGAACTAAAAGTATTTTTTATTTAGTTAGTGAAATAACTTCTCAATTTATAATTTTTCATATTAATGAATATTTTTTCTATTTTTACCATTAAAATTCTATATATATATTTTTTTTTTTTATATTAAAATACTCTAATTAAGTTCATATTTTTTTATTGGTTTACAAAAGTATTATTCTGATATTTATTTTTTTTTTTTTTTTTTATAAATTTATTATGATTTTCTTTTTATATTTTTATTCTTTTTAATGATTTCTTAAAAATTTCTTCATTTACTTTTAATTTGTTTTATAATTAACATATTCAAATTTCACAATTTATCCAATTTCTTCTTTTTTAAATTAAATACATAAATTTATAAAGAACATCATATATTCATTATTTTTATCTTACATGCACAATTTTCAGATTTATTTACCTAGAAAAACAATTTTTATAAATTTGAAACTGAAATAGAAATTTCATTAAACCACAATACACATTTCATATATTTTTATCTAAACACATTAAGAAAAATTAAGTATTCACATCTTTTTTTCTCTAATAAAAATATATATTGAAAAATATATTAGCAGAATATATAATTAATATTATATGAAATAAATTATATAAAATTAATTTTAAGATAAAAAAATCAAATTTTAATTTTCAAAAATGAGTTTCAATAATGCACTCTACTAAAAAAGAATAACCGTGCATAGGTTTCTGTATAACCATAGTAATAATATACATATAGGTGTTATAAAAAAACTAATAATATAAATTAATTAAATGTTACTTTAAATAATTTAATCAATTAAAAATAAAGTTTATTTTATAATTTTAAATAATTATTTTTACTTATATATAATTTTTTAAGAAATATATTTGAATAAAATCAACGTAGTTTAGCATTCAAATTTTTTTTTCATCTGTGTATACATGTAAAAAGTGATATTAAAAGAAATAAAAAAAAAAAGTGATATTTAGGAATAGACCACAACTTATATATATAAAAATATACTTTGTATTTTTAATTTTTGAATATACATATTTTCTATTTAGAAAAACGTTAATGAAAAAAAAAATAATTATTTACATTTAATATTAAAGATTTAATATTTCCTTAATTGTTTTAATGTTTATTTAATTCATATAGAAGCCTTGTATATATAGATTAACTTTGGTACATTTTAAATAAAGATTCTTTATAATAATTTTTTTTTTCATTTAAAACCTGAAGATAATTATTATTTTCTTTTAAAAAAATTAAAAACATTAATTTTTTCATAAAAAACCAGGACATCATAAAAAATATTAAAACCCAAATAGAATATAACTTTCTTCTTAAAAAAATTATTTTTCAATTACGAAATATAAATATTAAATAATTCATACTACAATATTTCAATCAATAAACTTTTCAAAAATTTATAATCCATTAATATAAATATATAAAATTATATTGTATCCTTATCTAATAATAAAGATATATAATCACAAAGAATAAATTAAACGGATATGATGTTTTCGAAAAATTTTATTATATATTTCTTTTCTCTTTTATTTCTTTTGTTACACGTAACGAAAAACTAACACTTATAAATATATTCACTTTATATTTATCTATAATATTTACTTAAATTAAAATAAAATTCACTTAAAAATAGTTTTTATTAATAGATTTTTTTTTAATATTCTATAGTGTATGCATGATATGCTCCATAAAGAAAATCTGAGGTTAGTATTAGAAAGAAGATACGTAAGGATATTAGCAGAAAACAATAGAGAAGATGATATTTGTATAAAAACACAAAATAAAGAGGAGGATAGCCCCGATGAAGTATTAGATATGTTGAATGAATTTATACAAAAAGTAGAAAAAGAGTGGGAAGAACTGAATAAAATGCAAAAATTTAAAGATTCTGAATTAAAATTAATGTTAACTTATGAAATGTATCTTTCAGCATCAACAGAAGAATACAGAGAAAATCTTAGCGAATATAATGATCTTTTAGATATTGTACAGGCACAAAATGAGGCTCCTCTGAATGAAGTTAATCAAATGTTTTGTAAATGGAAAAGCGATCTTAAAGATAGAATAGTAGAAGGTAAAATTATTAATTGGCAAAATGTAGTAGAAGATGAGTGGAATCAAATAAAGGAAAAAAAGATGCAGAATACTAATGATCGAAGTGATAAGATTAAACAAGCATATAAGGATTGGTTAACAATAAAATTTCCTTCATTCAACCACAATTTTGAATGGTAATATAGTTATTAGTAAAACATGTTATTATCATTTTAAAAGGTAATGTTATTGTAAAAACTTTACGAATTCTTCAGGTTCAAAGTATATTACTAAAAAAAATGATAAAAAAAAAATAAAATAAAATTATATTTTTTGAAAACAAACTATTTAAACAAAAGTGTATTTTCTCAGACAACTATGGAAGATACATTTTTTTTTTGAGATTTTAAGAATATATTTTATTTTTAATATAGAAAAAAAAAACTTACATTAATCACTTTAATTTCAATTGATAGAAAACGTTGTCTTTGTATGTAGCTTCATAGTTAACATGTGAAGAAATTTATTTTTCTTAACATTTGTGCACAATGAGAAAAATTAAAATATAAAAATGAAATATTTTTATTAAATATATTACATTTATATTTCATAAGTAGTTTGTGGTATACTACATAACTACTACTTGTTAAAACTTATCTTAATAAAAAGAATAAAAATTATTACGAGAAAATATTTTTATTAAAAATGTATCGTCTTTATATTTGAGCAAAATGGTTATTAATTTCATTCGATAACCTTATTATAGAGATTAAATGTTTTTAGAGAATAAAATATTTTTAATCACCTGAGACTTTGAAGTTATCATGAAAATATTAATTGTTATGATAAAAACAACAAAAATTCTTCTACATTCTACTTTCCAAACTGTGATTTATTAATTTCCAGTTCAATGGATTTATTAGTTTTGAACAAACAAATTAATAAAAAACATGTAGAGAAAACTTTACTTGTTTTATTTTTATTAAAATAAAAATATTAAGTAAATTATATACTTTTTTTTTTTTTTAATTAACATTAAATATTAATTACATAAGTTAATTACCATTCTAGTTAATATATACGATACTCTGTAGTTGTAATTTTTAGCATACATTTTCATTTTTTCATAAAAAAAACAATCAAAATCGTTACCTTTTAAAGTATTTTTTTTTAGTATACACACTTTTTGTGTACTTATTTTTTTTAGTGTACACATTTATGTGTGAACATTTTCTTCAAATTTTAGCATGCGTAAATAAAAGTGTTTTTACTCCTTTTATTTACTTTAATAATAATCAAAATAAGTCGATAATATTATTTATGTATTAAATTATCAATTCATCACTTTATAAAGGTATTAAACGGACAATTTAATAAATCAATATTATATTAGATAAAACAAGGAAAATAAAGTAAATAAAATACCAAAAAGAAAAAAAGAAAAAAATAACACATAAAAAAAAATTATATATTCATAATTAGTTAACCTTTTATTATTTATTCATTTTAATAATTTACCATATTTTATACAATCGATTTAATGAACTTGTAGGAAAATCTCTAGCTATTTGGTTTAGTAAAGTGAATCTTACAATATCAATATAAAATACAATTTAAAAATTAATTTTTATTTTATTATTTATTTTAATATTTAGTTAACATATGAATAATAATATCAACATTTTATATAATATCAAACACTTATTATATGAAATATCCTACATTGTACTAAGATAAAATCATTATATTTTCTAATATACCACACAATGTAAAAAGAAAAAAAAAAAGAAAAAAAGTTTTTTTTTAAGATGCAATTGATGAAACAAAAAAAAATTATCACTGTCATACGCATGATTGCGTAATCGTTATTTTATATAAGCAGTTTTTGAAGTCTTATGATTTAGTGTATATGTATCAAAATGCATATTTTCCTTATATATATTGCATGCATAAATAAGATTGAGACTATTTTATATTCATTCTTATTGAAACTAAAAATGAGGCATATAATGCTATATATTGACTAATTTATTAATTTCATGTTTTAATAATCTTTCTATGTCAAGAAAATATATTAATTAAGCTGATTTAGTGTGATATCCACTAATTTTTTTATTGCAAAAACAATATTTATAATCTATATATAATTTTACTATAATATAATATAATTGCATAACATAAAAAAAATGTTGCTTAATTGAATGAAATTTATAATCCATTTAAATAAAATATTTTAATAGATTAATTTATATATTCTAAACACACCAATTATTTTATAAAAGACTTAAATATCCTATTTAAACTTTTACTTTCTTTTCTAAAATCTAATCGTTTGATCTATAAAGACCTTTAATTATACATGAAATAACCATATCAATAACTTATAATATTTCATAAAAACAATTTAAAAATCTCCTGTTAATATTTCCATTTTTCATAAAAAAAAAATAACTTGATAATTCTTTTTTTTTAATAAAAACATAATAAAAAGTTCCAAAAAAAATTTTATAACTAATAATCATAAAATAATATTTTCAGGTAGTTAATAAAATTATTCAATTAAATGTTTTAAGTGCATATCAACTGTTTTATTTTATTCTAATTTTACTACTATTTTATAAAAGGTTAATCATATTATTTATTGATATAATATATTCTATCAAGGATATTGATTTATTAAATGATTGTTCAAAGAATTTAGTACAGCAATGATTTATTCATTTATTCTAAGATATTTAAGATGCAATAAAAAATTAAATTAATAAAGAGTATAAATAATAATTTTTATTTATTTTACTAATTTCAAAGTTACTTTTATGGTGAATATATAAATTTATATAATTACTTATCACAAAATAATTACTTTATTTTATGTGACTTTTAAAAACTGTAATAACAAAAATATGTTAATTAGATATTCTTATACCTTTAAAATAATTATGAATTTAGAAGAGATATACATTATTTAATAAAAATTCCCGTATTTTTATTAAAACTAAACGTTCAACGTAAAAATTCATTTACTTATATTTTATATCTTATAAAAGATAAAATTATTATATATTACTGATAATATTCCAATATATTTCATTCATGTCTTCTAATAGAATTAAAAAAAAAAACTATTAATATCCTAAATAAAAAAAAAAATAATTATAAATATATTTTTTTTTTAGTGTACTCATTTTAATATATATACTTTCTCATATATCTTATGAAAATAATCAAATTTTTAGTTATATTATATTTCATTCTATTTAAAGTTTTAAAAGGCAGAAAGCACTTTTGATTTGTCAAATGATTTATTAGTTTGTCTTTTGAATATTTATAATCCATTTTAAACAACCAAATCAACAAAGAACAAGCACAAATATCTCTATTTATTTTGCTAATTACAAAATCATTTAACATAGATAATTACATACCTTTAATATAATTATCTATATACTATAATATAAACAACTTTATTTTATATCTTAATTTTTTTTAACAATATTTCTCAATATTTTTTGCTACAAACTATTAACTACTTAAAAAAATCATTCATAGACAAAAATTATTAAAAAAAAATAATATAAAGATGTCTTTTATTTTATTATCATATACATCTTTAGATGTGATTCTGAAGATATTCATCTTTGATAAACATCTTTTTGGTTACCTTTATATATAAAACCTCATTATACACATCTTTAGATACATCTTTCAATTATCTTGCACGTATTAGAAACTCCTTTATGTAAATTTTTTGTCATAAAATTTCAAAAATGTCAATATCTTTTATTGGCCACATCTTACCACCTAAGATAAAAGTCTCATGTTAAATTTTTATATTTATCTTGTTTTATAAGATAAATTCCATTTCTTATATATTTATCTATATTATTATTGTTATTATTATTCATATATTGTGAAAGAAAATTACTTCCCCAAATATCAAAATAATTCTTGAGTTTTAGTTCTTTGATTAAATATAGTTTCTTTTTATTGTTATTAGTAAGCTATACTAAATTCTTCAATTGAGTTTCATATATCTCCTTGTCTCGTTATGCAATAACCTTATCGTAGTAAGTGAAATTTATACCTCTTTATTTCATTAGTATATAGATTCTGCTTTTGACTTTCCATTTTTAATTTTAGTTTCTCTTGGAACTACTAATAAAATTTATACTTACTATTTTCACTTTAATACTTAATTTTTTCTTATTCATATTTAGGAAATTAATATAAATTGTGTTACATACATTAATATATTTAATTGCAACTGTTTGATTTTTCCTAAAATTATCCAAATAATTATGGACTTGTTTGCATCTATCATTTAAGTAAATCATTTAGATTTTTATGTATTATCATGTAATGACTTTGAAAAATCATGACATATAAAATACGCTCTATGTATAGCAAAATATTATATTTACCCTATATCTCCACCAGGTGTACTTTTATATATCAATAATGTATTCCCCTCTATTTCTTCAGAAGATTTATCTTTTCTTAATATATGATCTTAAGTGCATAATTAAGATTCTTACGTAAACTTTCATTAGTGCAATTTCCTTGAGAATAATAAACACTTGTATGAAATAATTTTATCTGCATTTTCTTGAATATATAATCTTGAAATTCATGATTTGTATTAATAGAACTTTGATCAGTTAAGATGCTTTTATGGAATCCAAATATAGAGATTTAATGTTCTTCAGTATAAAAATTGTTTCACTAGCTGTGGATGTTCTTTTAATAATATTAATATTAAACGAGAATAATGACCCATCGTAATCTTTATAAAATACTCTTTGTTTTTCCAATTCCTAGGTCACTAATTTATTAATTGTCTATTCACTGACTTTGCTAGAGTATTGAACAAACATATTAATAAAGAGTATGTATAAATGTGTCTATTAACTTAATGAATTTAAATTTAATTTTAATGCTACTGTCCAACGAACTACTTTATACATATTCTGTTTCATTAAGCATGTTTTTAAGAGGTATTTATTTACCTTAATAAAAATACTATATTTTTATTAAAAATTTATATCCTTATTAATTTTTTTTAATTATATATACTTTATTTACAACGTTATGAATAATGTTTAACGTTTCAAATACATTGCTCTTAAATTAACGAACATAAAGAATTAACAAATATACAAAATAAATTATATAAATACTACAAAACATGAAAATTTGATTAT